TATTATTATTATTATTATTGATTTCTCTGCGACTGTCTTCTTTAGACCTGTCGATACCGACGAGGGGCCAGTTCATGATCAGCTTCTCCAACAAGTGACGGATGGCGAATTCAAGATCTCTCGTCTAAGTAATATCCCAGATTAGAGTTGCTTCTTGAATTTCTCTAAATAATTTCCCAGGTTAGAATTACAGTTGGACACGAAGAATTCAAACACGTCAAGGACTGACAGATGGGTTCCACACATCCATAATTCAGATTAACCCTTTACAGAAACAGTCGGGGAATGGCAAATTGTACGAGCTCTCCGTGATATTCAGTTTTCTGTGTTCATGTTATCTGTACTCGACAGATTTTTTCTATCCTAAACAACGATGCTTAAATATTGTGATAGATTAGAATCAGATAATGTCAATACCAAAACAATATACAAGATAGAAATAAAGCTACTTTCAGGCCCAGTTCTCTTCTGGTCTACTAAATTAGTGCCGTGTCATTATGAGCTGAAGTTAATCAGAGTTCAGTATGTAAAATCTGTAAAAAATATTTAGGTGGAAATTTGAGAGTGAAACGAAGACATAGGAAACTTTAGATGTAGGTTACTTCTCTACTGTACAATTATTTCAGCCGATGACTCTTCTGAGCATTAGACAAAAGTCAGCCGTCTTGTAAGGGTCCCACTTCTGCTGTCTTTCTACGACCCAAATTCCATTTGCAAAATCAATTATTCACAAGTTTAAGATCAAACATTGTCAAAATGTTGCCCATCAGTTTTGTTACATCCCGTTAACGTGTCGTGGACAGATGACATTCACTCTCATTTGTTCAGTTATTTTCGGTACATTTCTGTCGGACGCACCACTGTGCATCTCGTAATAAATGAACGATTATGCTACTACGAAAGGGGGGGGGGTGGGTTCAAGGTTCAAGATATCTTGGGTCTAAATATGAAGGAAAAAAGATAGAGTTTTGTAACTTGGCACACATACTTTCATTTCTGTACATTGTCACCATGCTGAGTAACATTTCTGCCACCTCTCTTTGACCTTTAAAAATCCTTGAAAAAACATGATCCACGATGGGCCCTTAATCAGTCTTCCACAGCTTAAATGGCGTGCTCGTTATCATGGACACGACGTCATTTCTGTGATTTTTTAAGATTAGGAAACAGAAAAAAGTCTGCAGGGGCTAAGTCTGGTGAATAAGCTGTGTGTGGCAGTTTGTTGTGCCCTCTGAGCAGGGGCGCTGACATGCAGTAGGAGGACCCCATTACTGAGTTTCTCACGCTTTTTTCTCACCAATTCGGAGCACAATTTTATAAGCAAACACGAATAGTTATCCCATGTGACTGTTTTTCCATTTTTCATGTAGTCAGTCATGATGATACCTTAAAAATCCCAGAAACACGACAGCATGACCTTTCCACTGGACGGTGTTACCTTTGCCTTCTTTGAAGAGGAGGAAGAAGGGGTTTTCCATTGCATAGAGGACATTTTTTATTCTGGATCAAAATGATAAATCCATGTTTCATCCATAGTCACCATGTTTTTAAAGAAGTTCGTGTCTTTGGGCTCAATTCGAATGAGTCTTTTGCAGGACTCAACCCTCTGCATTTTTTGCTCATTTGTCAAAAGGCGGGGTACCCACCGCGCAGACACCTTATTCATGTTAAGATGGTCATGGAGAATCGTTTCAATTAACCCTACACTGATTCACGTTTCACTTGAGAGCTGTTTAAGAGTTATACGTTGGTCTTGTAAAACCAGTTTTTTCCCAATGGATACATTCTCTTCAGTTACCACAAAGGATGGGCGCCCTTCACGATCTTCATCCATCACCGACATGAAACCAGATTTGAATTGTCTTACCCAGTATGTCACAGTATTATAACGAGGACATTTGTCACCATACACTTGGACCATTTATTCAACAGGCTCCGTGACACAGCTACAGCAAAGAAAAACCAAACGTTTTTGTGCATGGTTTCATTGAACACGCTGACTAGTCTCTTATTATGATAGAATTTCCCCGAAAATTTGCTTGGTGTGTTCCAAAGACATTGTCGAAAGGCTGGAGAAATTTCATGACTCTACCATGATTCCTTCATATCTAGACCAAAGTTGATGGGGTTTCTTTTCTTCTTTTTTTTTAAAGGTTCCTTGTGAAACCTAACGGGTAGAAACGTTTTTTTTTGACAATTCCATCATGGTCCTCAAAAAATCCAAGTCTGCACATAATTATTTTTTCTTTTACTATACTAAGAAGGTGATGATGGTGACAATGATGATTATAGTTGAATTTACATATTGATTCTATAAAACATGCTGTATGTCTTTTTAAAGAAGACAATACCTCGGCAAATCTCTCAGATGCATTCCTGGCTTCCCATGAAGCATGCAGTGCAAGCAACCAATTCAGTGCGCAAACCCTAATACATTGGCACGATCTTTCGTTGTCTATAATCGAGTACTTTATAACAACTTGGTGAAATTTAATAATTCATATAAATTGTCTTTCCCAGGGACACAACGACGGGCACCTGACGGGGGTTCCAGCCCATGACCTATCAGTTGTGTTCCCAACAGCCTATCCACTTAAACAATGAAGACGGTGACTTTGATGATGATGATGATGATGATGATGATGATGATGATGATGATGAAGATGATGATGATGATGATGATGATGATGATGATGATGATTCACTTAAAGCCTGATGTTTCAGGTTGCGGTGATGAAGCGGACTATAGAAGACAAAGTACACACTGCATTAAAAAAAACCCATCACTTTATTAATAATATTATAATAATATGATTAACTCACATAAACAGGCAAAAAATAGATATTGTAGAAATACTACATAATGAGAACCAAAGAGTGTAGATAAGATTACTCTCTGGTTATGGCAGTGAAGCATTATGAGTTAAAAACGACACAGAGGGTTGATCACAGCGGCGGTCTCAGCAGCAGAGATGATCTTGCCCACCTCGTTGTGGTTGCAAAGATTGACCAGAGCGTAAAACTTCCTGAGGGCGAAGTCGTTCTTGGTGACGTCAAGGCCTGGGCAGAATCCGAGCAGAGTGTCCACTACAGAGTAGTAGCAGTCAAAGTTCTTGATGTCCTCGTGGGTCTTCATGACGCGGTCGTAGGCGGTCTTCTCAGGGACCTCGCTGTGAAAAGACAGTTTTACATTCTAATTTTAGTTCACATTGTACAGCGTTTGCAACAATTATAGGTTCCGTAAGTAGGTGCCGAAGACGACAGGCGTAACTAGAATGTCATCTATATTTTAAAAAGGAAGAAAGATAAGAGTGACAGGAAAGAAGTAAATCACGCCTGATTGATATAGGCTAGTGAGTAAAAACAGGGGAAGGAACACAAGGTTTCTATTACATTGGTGAGAAAAGAATAATCTCTTTTGTTTAGTTCTAATACGACAAGTAAAGTAATGAATGATAGAGATAATAACAATAATAATAAAAATAAAAAAATAAAAAAAGAAAATAAGTTTAAAAAAAATAAATAATAAACAATAATACTACTGCTGCTGCCCCTACTGCTACTACTACTACTATTACTGGTACTGATACTACTACTACTACTACTACTACTACTACTACTACTACTACTACTACTACTATATTTAATGTGTGATATTGTGGCTTTAAAAAGCCACTGCATTTGGAATTTATTTTCTCATATTACTATGTTTTTCTGTACTGCCCAAAAAAGCAGATTTAATTTTGATTCCTGAACTCTTATCGACGATATCTCAATATTTCTACTGGGACATTGGGTCCCCTTTTCACATAGTTTGGCTAAACAGGTAGGTTTGAACCCCTCCTCTTACATTATATAAATCAACAAAACTAATAAAACAACAAATAAGAACCAAAGAAAAAAAAAGTAAAGCTCCCCCCGCTCCTTACAAAAGGACTCATATTATTTTGCAATCCCAGAAAGCCCTCACCTGTAGACAGTCCTAACGATGTCCCAGATAAGGTCATGGGTCTGCAGCATGGTGGTCTGCAGTTTGACCAGCTCTCGTTCCAGGCGAGACTTGAGCACAGAGTTGGTGGGGGCGGCATTGATTCGGTTCTTGAGGGTCTGAATGATGGCCAGCTCACTGGGGACTTGGTCCCTGACGCTGCTGGGCTTGCTCTTGGAGATGACACGCTGATATAATAATAGAAGAAACATTTGGTAATTATACATCAAGACAAATAATATATTATATGAAATGATAATAAAAATATTTATGAAAGAAATAAAATTATTAAAAATCAAAAATATACAAAAATGATAAATGTCGAGCTATGAATAATAAATAACGATAAATATAAACTACAAATAGGTAATTCAGAATAAAGAAAAAGATATAAATAATTAATAATAAACAATAAATAAAATAATACAATAATAAATAGCAAAAGTCAAAAACTAAATGATAAATAAATTTAAATTCTAATACGTGGTAACAATGCTACTTCTGAATATGCGTTGATAATGGAAAGTACTATTTTGCAGTTCAGCAAAGCTAGAACGCTGGTAACTACGTGCGATGTGCCACACTATTGGACAATTTGTAAACTCGGAGATTTCTGGTGGTTGTGTATTTGACCTAATTCTCTTCTTTTGCTTAATAGTATTAGTGCCATAAACTACAAGCTGAGCAATCATATACCCAATCTTAGGAAAGGACACTTATTTTTTTACGATGAACGATTGGCTGAAGAACCATTATTTCGGGTTCCTAAAACTTGTTATATTTAATTTGTGGTAGGTATGGCTGTGCTAATTCGTAAGGATTATTCCTACGGTCCGTAATACATTTGTTTAGAAATTTTATTTAACTCTTCCTCCACCCATCATCCTCTCTCTCTCTCTATCTCTCTCTCTCTCTCTCTCTCTCTCTCTCTCTCTCTCTCTCTCTCTCTCTCTCTCTCTCTCTTTTCGTTCTCTTTCTCTCGTTCTCTTCTCTATCTATCTATCTATCTATCTATCTATCTATCTATCTATCTATCTATCTATCTATCTATCTACCTATCTATCTATCTATCTGTATATATATATATATATATATATATTTATCTATCTATCTATTTATCTATCTATCTATCTATCTATCTATCTATCTATTTTTCTATCTATATCTCTCTCTATTTGTTTCTCTCTGTGAGTGTGTCTTTTTCTCTACCTATCTATCTATCTATTCGTACGTCTCTCCTTTTGGTACATATGCATGCCTAGTACATTGTAATATGTATACATTTACCATATTGCTATTAACACTATCTTTCTCTTCCCTGAAGTCCCCAAAAGAAAAAAAAACCTGTAAAGTATTTGTCCCACCTGTTTGTCGTTTCCAAAGAATTTGTCCAGAGTATAAGAGGCGATGGAAACGTCTCCGTACTGCTGGACATGGCTCGTTTTTGTTTCTTCCTTGACCTTCTTAAACTGTTGCTCGAAAGTCTCGGTGGTCAAGTTTGCAGCATCAGTGTCCTCCATCCACTTAACGCTGAAAAAGCAATAAATGCACAATTTTGATTTTTAGTTTAGGAAATTTCCTTTGTGTCAATTAATAACTTCACTCGTGACATGCACAGAGTTAATTTAAAAGATGTATTTGAAATAAAGGAAAACGAATGAAAAAGGGAAATGTTTTGGTATCGTTACATTGATGAATAAAGTAAAAAAAATCCAAAAATTTGCCTCTTCAAAAGCATGCAATTTAAACTTTTTTTTACACAGTCACTAAACAACAAAGAAGGTAAACACCATACGCAAACTCAGCGTCCGTGAAATAAACGCCAATGGGCTACAGCTATTGGTCAAGAATATGGGCACGAAAGATTTAAAAAGTATATCGTCGGCCGTTTATTCAAATGTGCTAAGCCCTTAATTTTTAAAAATTGTATTTGCCTTTTCGTACTCTGTACCATGGATTGCATGTGCTAAAGAATGAATATTTTGTCGAAATTAAAATATTAAATGATGAAAACCGCAAGAACAGTTACAAACCGACGTGTGATTGCTAATAGTCTGAAACTGTTTATTTGCGTCTCTTCTTAAAAAAGAAATAAAAAATAAAATAAATAAATATGAATTTAAGAATTAGAGCACGTGAAAAACTTGCTAATGAAGTTATGCCATAAAAGTACTTCTAATTTTCCTATGAGATGTCAATCTGTGCGTTTTTGGTGGGTTCTACCTTCGTTCCTGTCAAAGATAAGGTATCTTCTTTATCTCTGTTTCTTTTTTTTTTACATGCTACTCACCCTGATGACCTCTAATCTTTGGTATGTATAAAACCTACTTTTGTTGCAAGTGCCGTTGAACTCTTGCCAAAACTAAGAGGTAAACCCGTTGTACAATTGCTATTAAGGAGAAGCAAGGAGATAAAAGGAGATAAAAGTTCGTCGAATTCAGCTTGTGCTTCCTTGATAAAATGGAAATTATCCAAGACCGACAGCTACACGTCGGCGAGGAGAAAAGTGGTTGTCTTAAACTATTTTGATAGTGCCATTGTAATATAAAAGAAAAAGGAGTGGGAAGTGTTCGTTTGTACAGGGGATTTACTTGGAAAGGAGGCCGTCAGACCTGATTTGACTGTATTGCCTACCAATAATAATACCGTAGCACATGGATAATGTCGTAAGTCTAAATAAATCTTACGTACCTGTACACGTCACCCAGGTAAGTACCCCTCTTGTCGTCATAGTAACAGGCGTAGCTTGACTCGTCAGCGTTGGCGGCGGTGGTGACGTACACGTTGATGTCTTTGGGCAGGAGGTCTTGGAAGATGGAGCCAGATTCACAGGCCTGGTGCACGAGAAGCATTACGGTAAGAACTGGAAGTCTTATTTGTGAAATAATTCTAAGAGTCTTAGAGCAAATATTATATACCAGAACATTTCCAAATATTATTAGTGAAGTAAAAGAGGATAGAGTGTCTCTATAAGTGATTTAAACTGACTCTTAACATTGTGTTTTAAAATTCTGAATTCCCACGGGTAAAGCACGACATGACGATTGTGTAAAATGTGGCTTATCTGATTGAGGACGAGCGCTCTGGTCATTCTACAAAGCCTGGAGACTCGTTGTTGTGAGGCATTTTTAAAATGAAGCATATCGTCGTTATTTCAATAAATTTTCCAGTTCTACACAAATATTTTAAGCTTTATAATAACGTAGGGCCTACATACCTCGAAGTACGCAAATTCCTGATCCCGATTTGTATATGATGATGTTTTGAAACGTACCACAACATTACATTTGGTCTGCTGCTTAAATATTATCAACGTTCGAATTAATCAATATTGATTGGCGTAACAGATAGATACTTAAAATTATTTTCTAAAGATCTTCTAACCATTCTTTGATAAATGTTTTATTACCTCAACGTAGAAGTTCAGTTTGGCAAATCTCTTCTTTTCGTACATGCTCTTGAGAGCCGCGTTAACATCTGTGGCCTTCAGGTATGGGGGATCTGGCATTCCAAGGATTCCAGGGCCACCGTGGTCAGCAAAGTTGACGAACACGTAGTCATCGGGGCCGGAGTCAATGACCTTGCCTTCACGTCCAGTCAGTCTCTTGACCTCTGCCTGGAAAATAAATGTTTTATTTGAGACATCTCTAACAGCCCCGTCGAATAATTATTTTTAAAGGGGGGGGGGGGGGGGGGCTACACCTGAAGGCTATCTCGCTGATTAGTGGACCGAATTTTACCAAATTTCACACTTATAACGAGCATAATAAGGAGTCTTAAGATCCGCTATCAAATTTGAGAAAAAGGTTTGTTTTCATGGATACGGCGCCCATATTGGATTTTGTTGACAGGTCTTACGTAATGAATACCGTACTTACTGCACATTGAAATAAATTGATTTTTTGCATGCCTGTTCACAAATATTAGATCTACAAATTTGCTGTTTATTTTTTCCTAATCAAATTAGAAAACTTTTAATGAATTTTTTCCTGAGGTAGTATTCAAGTTTGCCAAAAATCCGTGAAAATCCACACTCAAGACACCGCCAACAAAAATCTATTAAATATATCAAAAATTGAACAAATACATTTTTAGTATTATACCTTTTCTTCATTCTGTGAAAAGTTCATGAAGATTGAATGAAAAATGGTGGAGTTATTCAAAGAGGTACAGAGGAAAGTCGTGTTTTGAGAAAACGGCGGATAAAGAAAAATAAAAGATTGACTTTATGAGGAAATGGTGGTGACAAACATGCCCGGCACGGAAAGAAATGAGGTTTCTGGGGGTTCTTATACGATGAAATAGTTGTAGGAGAGGCTGAGAAAGCTAAAAATGCCTACAACTCAAATTCCATAATTTTGAGCCGAATTTGGGACTTTGGGGCTGCAAATCGCCCCCCCCCCCCCCTTTAAAGGCTAGAGTAAGTTATTTCCTATTTTGTTTAATTAAATCTTATCAAATGTAAATGGTTTTTCGATTTAATCAACTGTCATAACTAAACCTTGAAATGAAATAGTCAACAAAAATGAAAGCTGCATAGGAGTATATTCATTCCTTAGTAATCAGTTAACAAATAGGTAACTGTTTACCAGGGTTTTTATCCTTTCAGTTGGTAGGAAATTTTTGAATTTTGCCAGGTTGGCGGCCGAAGCCTACTCTTATTGATTTTAGACCACCAAGGGATCTTTAACGTGCGCAACCTGCACAGTACACGGGACCTCCGAAATCTTTCGCCCTTGTCCGAGAAGGCTAGGTGTAGATCTTTCCTACCAACGATCAGGGGTGAGGCTGCAAGACAGCAGTAAGAAGGAGCTAAGGAGTAGCAGTAGGAAGGCTGCAGAAAGATTCAGCAGCCCAGAGGAGGGGACAAAGGAGGTGATGGGGCGGGGGCAGAAAGTGGAAACGATCTTACACTAGCATAATATAAACATAATAATGTGTGAACTATATTGTAGGACAGCTGATCAAAGTATTAGGTTTAAAACTTTGAAAATCATTCTATATCACGTTGTTAGTCTTTGGTGCCTGTTAACATGTTGCATGTGGTTAAGAACTATTTTATTTTAAAAATCTAATTCTATATTGTATTTTTTTCAAAAGCAAAATTATATGCTATTTAGAAAACTAAAAGAATTGTTTGGGGGGGTTTTTTCGGTTTTTTTTTCTCTTTCCAGAAAATGTTTTTGTTCTGGGCTTAGAACATTTGAGCAGTTTGCTGACTAAACACTTTGAGAACGTTTACGTACTTTGTTTCCCTGGAGCACAGCGAGGAAAGTCTTTGCGTTGACATCAGATCCGGTGTAGTCCTTGAGAACTCCTGGGTACACGTTAGGGCCGTTGGGCCTGTTGATAATGTTGCCCTTGAACGGGTTCTCTTCGTTGTTTGCGATGTCATCGTACATCATGACCACGATCTGCTCGTCGGGGATGCCGGCCTTGTTCATGATCTGAGGACAGCAAGATATTATTGTATGTGTTACCGCGGTGAAATTAGTCACATGTCAAAATAATTAAATCAAAGAAACGGAAAGGTTCCTTCCCGTCAAGTATATTTCATTGAATTACACCCCCCACCCCCACTTTTCCAATCCTCTCATTTCTGCTTGGAGCATTACAAAAGAAAATGTTGATCATAGCACAAATATGTTAATTTGCAGTTTTCAAGTACAAGAACACTAAAGTCTTTGAAAATCACTATACTTTGACGCCTCTTTCTTGCAGCTTTCCCCCCTGACCATCGTCGAATCCTTTATCTCTGACTGGCACATTATCAACTTCTATTTAAAATAGATGTACGTACTTATTTTCTTCAAAAGCAAGACTGGAGAGCAATCTTTAAGATGATACCAATGCCTCAGTATGTCCACAAAATTGCGAAAACTTAATTTCATTGTGTCGTGACACATATAATTGTACTGTAGTATCAAGAAACGAAAAATATAATTGCCTATTTTATAAACAAGAGGAACAGAAACAATGCTTGCAGGAAGAGAAACAAAAACATCAGTCTTACGTGGTAGGCATGGCAGATATCAGCCTGGTGACGGTAGTTGCCATAAGAAGCAGAGCCAGCAATGAGCAGCGCCCAGTTCTTCCTGGCGGACACGCCAAGAGAAGAGACTGCAAGCAGCAGCGACAGACACAGGAGGACACGCATCTTGCACACTGGTACACAACAGGACGTCCGCACGATTCCTTGGTACAACAGGAACCCAAAGACGACGCTGGACACTCTCCATGGCGTTTATATTTTCTCTCGGAGATAGATCATGTGATCTGATAACTACCTGATAACTATATCTGACACGAGACAGGATAAGGTCTGTTAAAAAACAACAACTGAAAAGGCAAAAAAAAAAAAGATATTGAAAGAGGGCATATACGTGATATATTCATCCAATGTCAATTGGAGTTCTAATTATCAGTCAAGAGCAGGGGGAATCATAGCGTGCGTTGTCATAAACAAAGCAGAAATCGTAAATCTAAACTTATATTATGGAAACGCCCCCCCCGCCCCCCAACACCCACGACCATTGTATGTGCTTTGCATAAAGCCGGTGATACGATCTTTCACGCTGATAAACATACAAAGCCTTGGAAAAGGTTGACCAGGTAGTATTACGCAATAATAATTATGCAGCGCTCGGTGGTGTAGTGGTAAGGCTAGGGGAATACGAATCCAAAGGTCGTGGGTACAGAAATTCGTCAAGGACCTTAAGTTGTGCCATTGGGGAGGTCACAATGTTTAACACGTCGCCTAGTTACTAATGGGTACCCGGTTATAGCCGGCAAAAGGTCCAGGCGAGTTATTAGTGCCTGAGCTCTTAGTCAGCTGCTAGCACTGTCTGTATGCTGAAGCTTAAATAGTTGTAAAGAAAAAGAAGAAGAAGAAGAAGAAGAAGAAGAAGAAGAAAAAGAAGAAGAAGAAGAAGAAGAAGAAGAAGAAGAAGAAGAAGAAGAAGAAGAAGAAGAAGAAAAAGGAGAAGGAGGAGGAGGAGGAGGAGAAGGAGGAGGAGAAGGAGGAGTAGGAGGAGGAGAAGAAGAATGATATAATAATATAATAATAATAACAATAATAATAATAATAATAACAATAATAATAATTATTGTTATTATTATTATTATTACTATTATTATTATTATTATTATTATTATTATTATTATTATCATTATTAAATAATAATAATAATAATAATAATAATAATAATAATAATAATAATAATAATAATAATAATAATAAACATCATTATTAGTATTTAAAATGTTTAAAAGGTATATAGTGGGGCCGCTTAGCAAACCTATTGTGCATTTTGTGATACAAGCACCAAACTTGGCTCAAATGTACATTACCATATTGAAATCATTTTCAGATATTGGGCCACTCGGATTTCTCTCTCTATGGCCGCCATATTGGATTTCAAAATGGCCGCCATTTGAAATCTACATTTGCGATTATCTCTGGGTCAAATGCTGCTATTGACTTCTTTTTGGTTTCTAAATATATATTTTTGGGGTTAAGAAATCCAATGGTAGCAATCTGCGTTCCGTATTTTTACTAAAGGGTCGCCATATTGGATTTCAAAATGGCTGCTTTACATTACATGGCAGCTTCTCGATCTACATTCGTCGTTATCTTGTCGCCGGCACACGTTTGGAGAAGCCAAACCCTTCACAGGATTCCCTAGAGGATGCCAAGAAGAATCTGTTGCAACCGTTGCTGCTTGCCTTAGTCAGCAATATCCTAGAGAGACCCACCATCAAGGACCAGATGGCAGACACTAACCCTGCAGCAATTACCGCAGCCTAGATACTGAGGTTCAACTGCGAAAAACACAAGCGAACACGTGGCACCACATCATCAACCTGTGTCAGGCACAGTGTTGCACAGGATACCCCACTTCCAACTCATATTGGGATGATGTTGCATGCTCATAGACACAAGAAGGAATTGATCGACATACTGTCACACCTTGGCCTGAGCATCTCTTATGATAGAGTGCTCCAGTTCTCAGCACAAATGGGCAACCATGTCTGCCAACAATTTTACAGAGAACAAGTGGTCTGACCTCCAAAAGTGCGTGGCGAAGAGTTCACAATTGCCACTGTAGATAACATAGATCACAATCCTAGTGCAACAACATCAAAAGACTCCTTCCAAGGTGCCGCTATCTCCCTCGTACAACATCCTTCTCACACTGGTGAAGGAGTAAATCTGAGCATATTCGTTGCTGGAGAATCTGGGGATGCACGGTCCAAGACTGCCGCCCCTTTGCAGCACTATTATACTGATGTACCCCCTGTCACTAGCAGCATCAAGACGTCGCCTGTCCCAGATGCTGGAGTTGCGTCATTGACCAGAGGAGACTTCAAACAGCAGACTGATTAAGAATACCAATGGTTAGGCAATGCAAAACACACCCTGGGAGGCAACACTGGTACAGTGGACAATGAAAACACATCTTGGGCTGCATTTCATGCCAGCCGACAGCCACCAGAGGGTAGAGTCATCTGCCCCACGTCGCTGCTTCCACTCTTCCAGGAAAGTACCCACGCTGTGGCAAAAGTCTCGCATTCAATGGACGTTGTGAAGAAAGCTGTAGAACACCTGAATCCTGGTACGACACCAATGGTCACCTTGGATCTGCCACCGTTTGCTTTGGCCATGCAGATACAGTGGAAGTGGCCAGAGAGTTATGGTGAAGACCATATAGTGGTGATGTTTGGTGGTCTCCACATAAAGATAGCAGTACTGAAAACACTGGGGGACTGGCTGCAAGGGAATGGTTGGGTGACAAGCACTTGTGCAAGCCGAGATTGCGACAGCAAGGACAGCAGACTCATCCCTGCGAGCATCTCAAGTCTTGCGCACAAGAAGAGCACATCAAGCGACTGCAGCAGCACTGTACATCCTGCAACACCATGCCTACTACCACTACTGTCTGGGAGAAACCAGGGATGCAGAGGACATTCCTGCGTTTGAAGACTGGTGACGCCAGAGACGAGACAACATCTCCCAGTTTCGCTGCTGGAACAAGAACTGTGGTTCTAGTGTATGTGCGTTCTCTCAAGCAGGGATCATTGATGATGTGCCTCGATGCTCTGACAGAGCTCGTCACCTGGTTCCACGCACTAGATCATACCCACTATACTAGGTGGATACCGGTGCACCTGAAGAACATCTCCGAACTCACTACGAAACATCTAGACGTAGCCAGGAAATTCAGTGAAGGCCATTTCACAGTTGAGAAAACGCAGAGGGTGTTCTCTTTAATCCCGATTGGCCAGGCACATGAGCAGAATAATGCCTGCATCAAAGGAAACGGTGGCGCGGTTGGGCTAACTGACAATCCTAGTGCCCTTCGTCGCCGGATGGTTTCAAGACCAGAAATTGCTAGGGTGATCGAAGAATTCCAGGAAGGGAACCAATACTGGAGACAGCAAGCAAGCAGCAGACACACGTCATCATGATCAGACGCCAAGTGCACATGCCTCATTTTGTGAAAGATGTTCGCTGTCTCGTCGGTATCATAAAGGAGATGGACAACCCAATCGAGGAGGAGAGTCAGGATCTAAGCATACTGGACACAAAGGACATCGCAGGTCCTTCTGCCATGGAGACCGTGATGAAAGCCAAGAGGATTGGACAAGAGCAGCCCGAGGCTTTCACCAGAGAGTGTCTGTTGGACAGAACAAAGGCAGTGGACGACCCCGTTTCTCGTGACAAAACTGAAGGTATTCTGCACTTCCACTCCAAGAAACAAGAGTAAATGTTAGGAACAGTTCGCCTCTGTCAGAAATGACCGTGAACTCGTTGCACGCCTGTACATTGGCTGGCAGATGAGAGATGGAAACATTAAGGAGTTCTTTCGTCACAAGAACCAGGCATGTCCTCCTGCACTGTCTGCTGTCTTCACTTGTACTTAGAATGATCTCATCACAGGCTTTGAAGAAATCTTCGACGCCAAGACAGAGACTCCTGTCCCTAGCTGTATAGTTTTTGATGGAGCAGCCATCGCCCAGATTGGCTGCATTAAATTAAAGACATTTGAAGAGTATGCTCCTAAGATCTTCATCCCATATGGCAAGAAGACTACGTGGGCAGTCTGAACGGTACTGCCAGAACTCACTGAGGCGCTGCTGCTGGTGTCCTCTGCACTACGTGACTTACCAAACGATGCAATGTCCAGCATCAAGAGGTTCGTGATCCTGCTGTATGATCGAACCAGCAAATGCACGTACTATGACACGGCCAGGAGGAAACTCTTCGCAAGGAAGAACGATGTGCAGCTGATCCCTCCTACGAAGGCAGCTTTAGAGGAACATGTCAAGAGGGGAGTGTATTGAGGTGGAAATGTGTGGGGTCAGGTACTTTTCCCAGCACTAGAGCTCCCTCCATAAAACAACTAGGGTTGGTCAATGACTGGAGGACAGTATTCACCATACTGGACCAGGCTACCCGAGGCAGCTCACAGCAGCATTGGAGCTGGTTTCTTGCAAATGCCATTTATGGTGTGTGAGGCTCTGCAAATGCAAGAAGACTGCCCTCTGTGTGTGTGAAGGGGACTCCACATGACGATGAGTCCACAACATACATGTACTTGTGGCAGTGCTGAACTTGTTAACATGACACTGTTTATGTACACGCATCTTCAGTACCGATGTCTACCTAGCCTCAGATACCAGACCATTGAAGAATGTCAGTATACACCTAGCCTCAGAAATTTGATCATGTAGCAAGTTAGAATTGTACCTACGACATTTACAGACTTAAGACTTTTACACCCATTTAACATGCTTTCAAAATTGAGTCGATAGTGCCGTAAAACACCCACTCAATCAATCAATCAACATGCTTTCATATAATCATTCTTTTCAAAGTATCGTGTTCAATCTATTGTTTTCCTAGATCATTTTATAAAACAGAGTGTGAAAGATAACATTACGTTGAAATTGGTGCCATTGGATTGTGCATTGAATTGTGCATTAGAATTTTAGATTTGTGTCTTTGATTTAGATTTGTGCATTAGAATTGTGCATTAGATTGTGCATTGGATTGTGAAATTGGTATCATAGGATTCCTTGCCCCCCAAAACATACATTTAGACACCAAAATGAAGTCTACAGCAGTATTTGACCCAGAGATACTCGCAAATTGTAGATTTCAAATGGCGGCCATCTTGAAATCCAATATGGCGGCCCATTAGTAAAAATACGTAATGCAGATTGTTACCATT